CTGTAAACAAAAAAAAATTAATATACATATGTTCCCTAAGATATTTAAGTGATTACACGTAACGATTAGGAGAAAAAAAAAAATAAAGTGTATACATATAGCCAGGACTGTGTTGAAGATAATTAGAAAATAAAATACATTTCAAAGAAATACAATCTCATGAATAGAAAAATTAGAAATTAAGAAAAATAAATTTCACAATGCTTTGTGAGTGATGATGAAAATTCACGTTCAACACAGAATAAAACAATAAAAAATGAGAGAAAAAAAATAATGTCTAAAGAAAATTAAAGCCTTGCCTTATTACATAATATGTATTTATGTATGTATTACAGAATAGTTTTATAATAGTTACTTAAAAATCGGGATAGAAAAAAATTACATAGGAAAACATCTATATTTAAGAAAACAATTTGAAAAGGTTGAAACAAACCAAAATTTAAAAAAAAAAAAATTTATATTACCAATTTCTACAGAAAATTGGTATGGATATTTATCTTTTGGGTTTTTACATTCTACATGTTATTTCCTATGAATAGCTAAAAATTACTGAACTTATTATATACACACTGTGTTTCATATTTGTTACTCATAAAAATTTCCAGATTTTTATCTGTTCAATATTATGAGCTCTAAATCTGCGAGGGCCAGAAGATTCAAGATTTAATCTGGGAGAGGGAGAGGGAGTGAGCTAAGATTTTTTCTGTAATTACAGGAACATTAACGTCTTTATGGATAAAAGCTTTAATATTTTTTGTTAACACCTCCTTACATTTATTTGCTGAAATACTTCGTTATAATTTAAAAAGATAGCATAGCGCTACTGTTAGTGCAGAAGATAGTGTGTAAAAATTGATTTCTTTACGGAACAGCATAAAAATTGGTTAGTTTCCATAGTAGTAGACTTCTGATTGCAGTTGCATATTACAAAATTCACCTTTAGCACAAATAGAATAAACACGTGAAATTGTTACATACGATCTTATATGTGATCGTTAAAATATTTCGCTCAGACCAGTCATAGAAACCAAGGTATTGGCCAATGAAACGAAAATATTTTTTTTATTATTTTAGGCTGCTTCTACCAGAAAGCCCCTCCCCTATTGAAGTTGCTGAGTAATTTATGACTAATATTTACTTCAACTCCTTCCTCACAAATCGGTGAAATTAAATTCCTATAAATTCCAAATTCTTTATTGGTATATGTTACTGTAATATATGCCTATTAACTTTAGAATTGAGTTTCACCATCCAGGGTGTTAAAATGATGTTCAATCGGTTTTGATGTAATTTTTAAACGCAAACACTAGAAAACAAGAATTGGAATCATTTAACAGAGGCAATGTGCCAGGTTATGAAAAAAGAATTTTTGTTGTTGGACTTAGACATAAGTACAGTGAGCTAGTGTAGTTAATCAATTTTTAATATGAATTTTGAATATTTACATCAAAGCTTATAGTGCACCCTTCTCTAAATATTTCAATACCAACTTAGTTTTTTTTTTTTCCTATCAAAGAATAGATAAATTTACTGTATTAAAATCCGCTGGTATGTGGTTGGAAGTGTATCTGTTTTTTTTTTTTTTTTTTTGTTTATTTCTGTTTCGATTTATTTTGTGCATATTTACATAAATGACGCGATTGTTCTACGTAATATTAAGGTCAAAAGCTATTGTCGTTCTTGTATTGCTTCATTCATCGTCGAGATAAAAGGATCCAAGTGTTGGGGCCGGTTCAAGGGACTACTTTTATCTCTTAATTACACAATTCTTTTGAGTCCGAACCTTGTTCCGATGACATAAACAGAGGAGGAAAAAAAAAATTCCACCTCTATTCTAAGAAGAACTTTCTATATTTCATTACTATTGTATCTTGCTGTTTTGTACGATTTTTTATCTTAATTTCCTTTTGTTAGAAACACTTAGTAAACATCTCAATTACCTTTACTTCTCTTTTAGGGCCTTGCTCAACATGATGATAAAATTTTAGATTCTGCTATGGATTTCCGAATAGTTACCAAGTTGCTCTTGATCAATTAATTTTTTCCTTTTTATCTCTCGATTTATGATACTAATATTTAACAATTTAAGTTATCAAGATTGCGAATGTTTATCCCTCTGCGTATGATATACTTGAAATGTCAAGATTGACCTTTTTAAGATTTTTTCAAGATATCAATACCATTTAGTATTTAAAAATCATCTCTTAGTTACTTCAAGGCTAAAAACTTCCTATGAAAAATAACTTTATATTAATGTTTTCTGCAAATAACTTAAAATTACTGGACTTTGAGTCGTTTAGTTTATTTGATTATAATAATATATTCGGTTTACAAAAGCTCATATTAAAGAAGAAAAAAAAATTCAAATATTGAGGTGTAGTGGACACAACAATAAGAATATACATACATTAAAAAAAACTAGTATCAGCTATTTAAGCTTAATTAACTTTACTGAAAGTACTGAATTTGAGTATTATAATGTTATTGAAAAAACTTATAACACCTTTTCTTGGACAGCAAGAAAGGATTTCATATAGTAAAAGGAGGTTCGCGAAAAACATGGAAATAAAAAATTTTAGGTCTTCTTCAGGGAGGTGTGTTGAGCTAGGATTTTCACTTAGAACTTAGTGAAATCAGTTCTAAGTGAAATACCTCCCTGAAGAAGACCTGCAAAGTCGGGTCGAAACGTCGGCTTTTAATAAAATAGTTTTTCCACTATTTAGCCTATTTATCTCCTTCCTTTATAATGCAACGGTCAACTATTAAATATTAAAAAAAAAGTTTATGCCAATGATAAAGCTAAAATTTGGGCTTTTCCTCTTGACTTAATCGTCAGGTTAGACATGAATAATTATCTAATGCTATTTCATTATATGTGGAAAAAAATACAAAGAAAGATTTACCACTAATTTTATATATTTAATATTGTATGTTCTCACTTATTAAATTATTATAAATGCATTTATTTCAATACATTGTAAAATGGTATTTTCCAATAAAGTTAACACTTATTCATCCGGTAATTCTTTACAGCGCCATTCGAAAAATGCCGGCATCTCTTTATCTCTATTTAGTAAAACTTAGAATTTAATTTATTTAGAAGTAATAGAACAAGAATCAATTATTTTCTGCCCTCGTTATTTAGTCAGCACATCTGATTGTTAATAAATGTAATTAACAGGTGAGGATTGACAAATAAAGGTGAAAAATAAATATATTTTCTTTAATATCCAAATAATTAATTTTCGTCTTGCGGACAAATGTGTGTTAAGTTAGAACAGAACCTCAGCCTTATAAATATAGGTTGAACTTTATACTCCTTATTCTCTGTCAATGTTGTGTCTGCATCCCATATTATTTAGATACATATCTTTCAGTAAGCCTCTCGCTCAGTCCGTCTGTTCATCTTTTGTGTGTTTTGAATGAATTGTCAATCTGTTGGAATGTTGCATCAGATATATTATTATGTTATATCAGAATGTCTGAGTCCTTGATGATCGAACTGGAGGAATCGTCTGTATAGCTAAAAAGCTGCAAAAATACTTATAAATAATTTTCGAAAAATTCTGTGTAAAAAAAAAAGCTGTGGCAAATTGTTATGCACCATTGGAAATAGAAAATGTTAGATTTCCTTTCAGACAATTGAAAAAAAGAAATACTGTCAAAATATATTCAAGTATGCATTTTCTGTCCCTTAAAAGCTGGACCTATCTACTTAAAGTTCACTGAATAAAGTTTTTTTTTTTAAATTAGCAGATCATTAGAATTTTTATCCACTTATTTAGTAATGTACAAATTTGTTCTAAATATCACTTTTATAAATCTAATCTTAATCCAAAAAAAATAATAAATATAATTTAAGGTAAAAAAAGTTTAAATAAAACTTTTTTTTTAAATGTTGCCCAGTTTAGAACATCAAGGACCATGACAATTTACTTTTTATTAAATTATCAGTTAATCAGCATGACTTGTTCATTTTGTTTTTACGTTTCTTGAGCATGGGCTATCTTATTAATTTAATTTGAATACGTCATTACATGTTTATTGTTTGAAAAAAAAGACTATTTATATCACTATGCCATATATAAACAATTTATTTTCGATTACATTATTTGAATAGCTTCTTAAAGAAAGACTCAATTAATTTTTTTTTTTTAGCTAAATTTAGTTGGCAACGTTTCTCTTATTTGTGGCTCCCCTTACACCAAAATTAAATTAAATTATCTTATTTCGATTTTCTCTTATGTTAAAACAAAAATATTATAATAAAGAAAAGTATGAATACTTACTTAAAACGTAAATATTAGTTACCACTATCCGTTTTTGAGCTGGGCTATACACACGTTCAGACACAAATTCACAATCGCACACAAACCATTTTGCGAGACTTGGACACAGTGAATTTCCACACCTACAACGTGTATTTCCATTGAAAACTCAAGTTTCACAATCGCCATTCGTTCCGTTACCATATTTCATTAATAGGCAAGTAAAAACAAAAATATAAAACTGAACAATGGTGAGATGATTATATTAGAAAATTATTTCTCATTAACCGTATAAAAAGCACTTCAATATAATTTTTGTTTTCTGTAAAATGTATTTACATGGAACGAGTCCCTTTCCTTATGAATCTATCCATTTAGAGTTGAAGTTTTTTTATTTATGTGTACCATCGTTATTGTTATCGAATGTAAATCAAGATCATTTAATAGACTCAATGATCCTTGGCGTAGCCGTGAATGGAATTTGGCATCGACACTACAAAAAGGCTATTTTAAATTTTGTAAAGCCAAGGTTAAATAGGTACTACCATTTGTATCTTTTCACCTTTCACAAATGGTAATATGTACGTAATAGATTTTTTGTTTATCGAACCATTGTTGGTTTTCTGTTATATCGCTTTAATATAGTTACTTTACGAATTTCTTCATATTAGGCGTGCTCACGTAAAGTGTTATATGCCTTCTTTTTTTTTCTTATCGTCCATATAATACTTTATTTATTTATTTTTTTCTTTTTCAGAAAAATGGATAACGTTTGGGTGGATAGTGCCATAGGCGCAATTAAGGTTGTGGCATTCGTCTACGATGTAGTTACATACCCTGTATACGCCGTCTTACAGATGCCATGGCAGAAGAAACAGTTGTCAAGAAGAGTTAAGGTAATATATTTTAGAAATTTTATATAATCATTATGCCGAAAAATGCGTAATTTCAAGCATATCAGAAAGTGCAATGAATAGAATCCCTTGATATGTATCTTTTTATATCTTTACGGGTTTTAAATAACTTTCAGACGAAATAGAAAAAAAACTGGAAAAACCGGAGTAACAGTAAAAAAAAAAATAAAATAAAATAAAAAAAATAAGGCGAAGAAAAGGCCTGAATTGTGTACCGAGAAATTGCAAAGCTGTCGCTCGGTTGCGTTTCTTGGAGAAACGGCGTCAAATCAATACAGCACGGTTGTGCCGTTTATTGCGATAGCACGCGTGATTCGTTGGCCTAATCGAAACACTTTTTATCGTTAATGAAAAAAAATAGGAGGCAATAAACTTTAAAATATTTAGAGATTGTTTATTATTCTTTAAATTTATTACAAATTCCTGGTAAGTTTGTAAATTTGTTTTTAGAATTGAACATTTTAAAAATTCTCCATACAAATGAGAAATTATATTATTTCAGTCTTTGCTTGATCAAATTACATAAAAAAATTTGGAACGAAATATAACATTTAAATTTAATGTTTATAATGAATCTATTATTAACTTTGATATTTTTACTAGCATTAACAGTAAGTTTTATTGATATTTTTTTTAAAATTATTATTAAATGCTCTTTTAATTCTGGATGCACTATATTGAAGTAATTGGAAATATTGGAACAACGTATACTAAATATTTGGGATCAAAACATGGATTTGGGTGCATATTTTTTTTTTTTATTCTGGAAACTGAATAAGTTAATTATCTCAAATTTTAAAATTTGTATAAGCTTCAATAAAATTTTTATACGCACTTCGTTTTCCTGAAGAAGTTGACGATTAAAACATTGTATCACTGTTTAAATAAACATATTTACTATATCTAGAGTAATAAGTGAAAATGCTAGAATAGAAGGGAAGGGAGAAGAGAAATACGAAACAAAATTATAAATGAAAAAAAAATTGCTATTGTAAGGTAACATCAACGCTTAAACAGTTTAGAACTAGTGATCTGAAAGTTAACGGAAATTTTCTTTTAAATATTGGAATCGTTCTCGTTCTTATTATAGAGATTTTTCAGAGGAAAATACAAAAAGATTTTTTCCTTTCGGGCTAGTGAATGATAATCTCCTTTAAATATATTTTTTAAGCTAAAATGTGTGATCAAATTTTGTTTGTTGTTGTTGGGGCATAAAATCCCCAGGTCAACAACGCCTAATGTGTGATTATTATTTTTTTTTAATTATTTATTATTATTATTGAAGGCACGCATATTTATTAACTCCTTGGGATACACTAAAACTTTTATTATAGACTGACAATTACTGACACTGTTTCTGTTTAAAACCAAATGGTGTTACTACAAAATAAGCAACAACAATTGATTATTGATTATAACAATATGGAGCTCGAGTTATGACATTGCTGGTTGGGTCTCTGGCGTGGTGATATAACAGCAACTAATGAGGCTCTTATGATATCAAGGCGACCAATGTCTAGAGGAGATTACCTCCTTGGGCCCTCCTTCTAAATTGAACTACGTATCCTTTCAATGACCTTACGGCGCTATTCTCTTCTATATTTATCTCTCTATATTCCTACTTAACATTACCTACATAAATTCAAACAGTTTTCGACAAACCCTTTATATGTACTGTTCATCAATTATAAATTCCTACCGTAATTGAAAAGCTTCAACTAGAAACGGGAACAAAGGGAACCTATTATTGTGTAAAACGACCCTTTCGTACGGCATTGTTCGAGCAGGTTCTAATCTCATTCCCCATTAACTTCAGCATTATACTCGTTGTTATGATGACGGTTTATCCATTTTTTTAAATTTTATTATTATTAATCTTTGTTAAAATATTTCATTATGAATTATACGTCGTATTCGTTGTGTTAATTTTTTTGAGGAGCTAATGGGGGCAAGGGCGGGGTTTTAACGCCAGAGTTAAAATCCCTTTCCGTCACCGAGGAGCGAATCTTTCAGGTTGCCCGACAACGCGGTGCTGTGCACGCCTAAGGAACCTTTCCTCACGACGACTCCTGTATGCTTGAGTTACCTTCTGTTCAACTAGAGAACCCGTCGAAATCGAATACTTGTTACGAAACACTTAAATTCTTCAGAGTTAGATCTAGTAATTTAAATGGCGTTCGTTTATTGCACGTTAATGAAGGCAAGGTCACATTCACATTTACAAAAAAAAATACGCTCAGCCTTCGAATCATTCACTAGGCCAGTGATATCCAACCTTCAACTTAACCTGGCTGTTGCCAATTAAGGATTTTTTTATCAGCCACGTGTTGGTTGCGAACTACTGTCTGGCATCAGTCCTCTAGGAACAGACGCAGGTGGAATCTACTAATTATATTTTATTGAAATAATAATTAGCGACTGAAAGTTCTTTTAAAATTAATACCAGTAGTATCTATATAATTACAGGTATCTGTGTTTTCTAGGTCGTAGCGAGTGCCGTTCCGAAATTTTAAAGACTAGATAGAAATTTTCCTAACAATTTGCCCATTTTATATTAACTTATTCCTTTTGGTGGTATTTCTTTGGAATATTAACAGATTCCTGAACAAGCTTAAATTTATAGAAAACGATTCGTTTCGCAGAAGAGATTGAATGGACATTGGTGTGTCTTACGATGACCGGAACTAGATATCACGCCACCGCCGCTTGACCCCATTTCACAAAGATTATGTCAGGCGGAAGAAATGTCTCTAAACGGGACGCTGTCTCGACGTGAAATCCTTCCCGTCCTTGGCAATGTTGTCCTCCACATCTCCGTCATTTTCTTAGTCTTTCAGCGCGAATTTTCACTATTTTTTTAAAATGTCTTTTTTATTGTCAACTTTAAAAACATCATGTTTATATGTATATATAAATTTTTATATATATATATATATGTATATATAAATTTTTATATATATATATATTTATATATATATATATATATATATATATATATATATATATATATATCCTTTATATATATATATATATAAAGGTCAAGTTACTGTTTGGTATATTTGGTGTATCAGTCGATTTAATCTATGATCTGTTGACTATTTTTACTTAATAAGGATTAGATGTCCATATATGATGAATTAAAATGATAGTTTGCTTTATTTTGAAAAAAAGTGAATTTTTGTAAAACTGCCTTATTCTATTATTCTATTGAACTTATAATTAGAAAATATACACTAAAATTCAAATTTACCAACATTTTCAAAAATTATATAGGTTAGTACTTCCCGCCAGTTTAAAAATTTTGCATAAATTAAAGCATAACCGAATTTAATTATCTTCAGATTGAGTCAAAGTTATAATTTGTTTATGAACTAAGTTTTTTTTTTTGTAAAATAATAGTATATATAAAATTATTTATTAAACTTTCGACAGAATCCCAATCGTTTATTTGCTTGTTAGACCCCGGTTAACCAAGCCTTGCAAGTATATTTGAGCTGCTCGAAAGTAGGTAAAAAAATAAATCATTATTAATTTACGAACTTAGTTTTGTTGAGCGACATTTACTTCTTCACGGATAATCTTTACCTTTATTATTCATGTTATCTCTCCTATTTCTTTAAGTTTTATCAAAAAATATTTATAGGGTTCAATAACTAAAATATTTCATAATTCTATTTTTATATTTTTAAAAATAGATTGGTTTCGTTCTGTGTTATTTATAAGTTATGTTTTTTTAAGTACGTGTCCTACAACAAGACCATCAGCAAGTTCATTTTCGAAACCTTTTGAATTTACAATATTTTTATTTTAATGTTTCTGAAGGGGTAGCCATTCTCAAATAATATTTATTTTTTATCAACTTCGCTAGCATTTAACTGTCAAGTCTAGACGAGTAACGATTGATTTTGTAGGAAATCACTCCAACTCCTCTGAATCGAATAAACTAATTTTTTTTCTCGATTCACGTCATATTCTATTTCGGAAACCATTTCTAAACAAGACTAGTTCAGTGCGTGATGTCTGCTGTTGGTTTCCTTCCTCGTTTACCAACAGTGATTTTTCATGACGCGATTACTGCAAAAGTAGTCCGTGATTAGCTATGTGCACAAGGTAAATATTTAGTTATTGTTTAGTTAAGCAGAGTTTTTTTGTTTATTATCAAACTAGAACAAGGTCTCACGAGTTTTCTTGAACAGCTACCAACTACTACACCTGATAAAATCAAAGTGTGGTAACTTGAAATTTTTTTATTTTTTCGATAACTTTCCTACATTTTTTCATTATTGTTTTTAAATCTATGTAAACTCATCTTCTGAAAATAATTCCGATCGATTAGAAAATAAGTGAAAGTAAAAATACGAATTGAATTACCGTATAGTTGAACTTTTAAAACTTATAGCAATTCTTTATATTGATACTTTTAAAAATTATTCCCTATTTAAAAAGATTTTCTTGCCCCTCCTTCCACTTAGACCTAATCTAATGAAAATTTTAATTTTCAAAGATGCATTGAAATCAAAAAAGTTTGTAGGAAAAATATTAAATTAAACAAAGTCTATAATATGTTTTAAAATTGATTAAATAAAAAATAACTTTGAAGTGATACTCATTGGACTGGAATTCATTACTGTTTTAAAATATGAATGCACTTTTTTAATTGGAAATATTAAAAAAAAAAAAGAATTAAAAAAGAGTTGATCCCTTCTAAAGTGGGTGGTACAAATTGAAGAAATGCTTTATTGGGCACGAATCAGGGATTAAAATTCTATTTCAGTATTGCACAATTAACAATAAAAATTACTTAATTCTTGAAAATTACATTCTTAGAAATAATTAGTAATTATAGAAAAACCTAATTAACTATTTGCCCTGAAATCTATTGTACTTTACAAAAGATTTTTTTTTGCAATTATTATATTTGCTTTATGATCTATTAAATAGTTCATGCAATCGTAAAATATCTAATGGATCTAAATTACTAA